TACCTGAGCGTGATTGTTCCACCTGGAGGTTACAGGATGCCGGTGCAGGCAGCTCAATGGACTGAGTTTCTATCCTGCCCTATCTGCTACAATGAGTTTGATGCCTGCAGCCACAAGCCCATCAGCCTGGGCTGCTCGCACACCGTCTGCAAGACCTGCCTGCACAAACTGCACCGCAAGGCCTGTCCTTTTGACCAGACGGCCATTAGCACTGACATTGATGTGCTGCCTGTCAACTGTGCCCTCCTGCAGCTGGTGGGGGCGCCGGTGAGTGGGGCATGCTGATATGATTGATGTGATAGCTTTTGAGGTTTCGAATAGCTCAGGATATCCAGTGTTGCTGTCTTTCTGGGCTGTGCAGCTCAAAACTCATTTTTTTTTATTGTTAATGTCTTAACCGTGCATACAGTTTTACAAGAAATTAATTGAAATGAAAAGTACACTAACATAAAAAAGACAGAATTGCAAAATATAAACTCAGAATTCTGCAATCTCCTTTTTACATCTCACAAATTTGAGTTTATCTTGCATTTCTGAATTTATGTCTTTCAATTTTGAATCTCTCAATTCTGACTTTTTTCTCTGAATTCTGAGTTTATATCTTGCCATTCTGAATATATATCGCACAATATTTAGTTTATATTTTGCAATTCTGAGTTTATATCTCGCAATTCTGAGTTTATATTTTGTAATTCTGAGTTTATATCTTGCACTTCTGAGTTTATATTTTGCAATTCTGAATTTATATCTCACAATTCTGAGTTTATGCAGAATCTTGCTATTCTAACTTTTTTGTTTAGCATTTATTTAGTTTAGTTTGCAATTCTGAGTTTATATCTTTTTTTTGTTTGTGTCCGCCACAAAAAAATGGTAACTGTGAGTTTATACCTCAATTCTGAATTTCTTCTGATAACTGCAAGACATAACCAGAATTGTGAGATATAAACTTAGAATTGCATTAAAAAAGTCAAAACTGTGAGAAAGCCTTTATCATAACAAAAATATTTTCACTTTGCTTTACTCCAAACAGATACTGTAAGTTTCACCAGTAATCATTATGCTGTTTAACATTGACGTCACAATGTCATAAACAGAACTCTTCTGGTGGTGCTTCATATCTGCCAATGGTTGTTTTTCTGCAGGTTCCGGAGGGAGAGATTGTGAGTGTGGGCAGTGTTGAAGACACAAGACATTATGAAGTGTGCAGGATCTGTGTGGAGGAGCTGGCGCTGTATCTCAAACCAATCAGTGGAGGAAAAGGTGAGTGTGTGAAGAAAGTGATACAGGTACATCAACAACAATGACTGTGAGTGCTGCATTATTGTTTAGGCTTGCGCCTGAACGAGCTCACGTTTGGATAGTGCAACATTTCCTGTTGTTCAGCGGCTACATGTGCTTTATCTGTCTGTGGTTGGAGATGTTTGCGTCAGTGAGAAAAAAAAAAAAAGGAAAAACACAGAAACCCAAAGGCCGCTTCAGAAACAAGAGAAAAACATGCACGTATTTTATATGCAATACATGCAATGAAATACAGTGAAAAAATAAATGTTTACAATAAACATTCATGTTTAGTAATGCTTAATAAAAGTAAAATGAAAGCAATAAGCATGTTATATCCTACCCGGTGCATTTTCGTACATTATTGCTTATCAGATGCTGGTGTTACTTATTATTCGTGGAATAATTTCCCACTGTGTTAAACACGAGAACGGCTCTTTGTAGGCGAATAAAACACTTGGTCTCCATGAGCAATAAAGCTTCAAGTCACTCATGGTCTCAGCTGTTGTGAGTGGAAAAGTCCGTTTCAGGGCTCAATTGAGTGTTTTATTGGAGTAACAATAAAAGTTACTCCTCACAGCGGACTAGAGGAACGCTAAAGGCTAAAGCTCTTAAACTCCTCATTGAGCTTTGAGCTCATAACAGCTCCTCTGTCAAACCTTCACTATTACGCTGTGGTGTAGCCATATGACTGAGACTTTTACCCTCAAGATGTTTAGCAGCTCCTGGAAGTAGGATCAGTAGTGGATATAGTGTATTAGTAGATGAACTTCTGGAAAAACTAACTGAGAGGCCATTTAAAGGCATTAAGGATAATTTGACTTTAGACCAACAATATAATAATCTATATAATATCATATATAAAAAATAACAATATGGTTTAACTGTAAATACATATATAATACACATTATAAATGATTAATTAAATAATCACACATCAAATTTGGCTGAGAAATTACCCCCAAAAGATCATTTAAAGTCATTGTGTTACATGACAAATCATTTATTTGATGCAACATTGAATTTATTAAACTTTAAACATTTTATTTATTTAAAGGAATTATAAACTTTTAGGCCACAACAACCTTTTTTTGGGAGGAAGCTGAATCTGAAGTGGTATTTAGATACACATACACACACACTCTGTAACGGGGCTGACGAGACGTGAGACGTGTGGATCCATCCGCAAGCTTTTATTAGAGAGATGTGGTAAACCGGCAGGGTCAAACAATGGCAAACAGGTATATGGCGGGCAAAATACAAGAATAGTCCTAGGGCTAGCGTAGGTCACCGATTGGCAGACAGAATCACAGGGGCGAGACAAGAGGGAAAAAAAAACAGGAAAAGATCAAAAACAGACAAGGCAAGGCAAAACAAGGAAAACACGGAGACTCGGAAAGGGGTACAGGCTAAACAATACTCAGCAGAGAAATGTGGTTAGAGTAGGTGTTATATAGTGAATGAGTAATTAGAAACAGCTGTGTGCAATGAGTGCAATCGAGGAGGAGGGGCGTATGCGAGCGGTCCGGGCGTGCAGATCTCTGGGTGAGCGCACCGTCACTGAACTCATCCTGCAGCACCAGAACCCACAGCAGCTCTCTGCCAACCTATGGGCCGCTGTGCGGGCACGCGGCTGTCAGTTTCTAGGACCTGGTGAGTTTCTTTGCATTGCATTTCTTTGCATTTCTTCATTTTATTATCATCATTAAAGATATATACCTGGTTATTTTTGCATATTTCGGGTTATTTACAACAATTCATGTCATGACCAGAAATTCTGGAGTTATAGCTGTAACATTTTATCAGAACCTTTGGAGAAGTAGTTCCACTTCAGAAGGACAATTAGATGACTTTACAGCAAACATTTTGTGCTGAGCTTTAAATTTCTTCTTTTAAACTATGTTTTTCAAAGGCCAACGCTGATAGTGAAATCTAGAGAGCAGAGTATAATGCAGATAACACATAATAAAAAATATAATGACAGTGAATGAGATTTACACAACTTGGAAAAAAAGAAATAGTTTATTATTCATTGACAAGTCTGTCGGTAGATTAGTAGACTAATGGGAACAATGTTTGTCATAATGTCCCAAGTGGCTAAAGTTGCCAGAGTTCTATTGTATGTTTTTAGTATTAAATATATTTTATAGTTTTTATTTAGTTTATATGATTAAAAAAAATTATATAATATATAAAATACCATTCAGAAGTCTAAAATATTTTTTTTGAAAGAAATTGATACTTTTATTCAGCAAGGATGCATTAAATTGATTAAAAGTGAGAGTAAAGATATTTACAATGTTTCCAAAATATTTCTATTTTAAATAAATGCTGCTCTTTTGAACTTTCTGTTCATCAAAGACAAGAATCATGTGACACTGAAGACTGGAGTATTGATGCTGAAAATTAAGCTTTGATCACAGGAATAAATTACATTCAAATATATTACATCCAAAACAGTTATTTTAAATTGTAATAATATTTCACAATATTACAGTTTTTTTCTGTGTTTTTTAAACAAACAAATGCAGCCTTGGAGAGCATACAATTCTTTCAAAAACATTAAAAACTATCAACCTCAAAGTTTCGAATAGTAGTGTATATTTTTATAGTTTTTGTTTAGTATAGTTTCAGATAGGTATTAAAATTGATTCTGTATATTGTATCTCTGTAATTCTATAAAGGTTTCTTTTACATTGGCATGTCTTTTTACAACCTTTTTTAGTATTTTGTTTAGATGAAATAGTCTGGCTGATAATGTTGTCTGTCGCAATTTGTAAATAATCCGAAATATATTCCTTTAATGCATGTGAAGGGAATACCTAAATGTGTGTTTGTGCTTGGCTGTCAATGATGATTACTCATAGGGCAGATTCTGACTGGGACAACACAGATTTTCCCATCTGATCTCATTTTGAGTTTTCTAGTCTGAGAACACCCAGAGCATGAATCTGTTCGTCTGACCAAGCACACATTGCTCGACCCCAGCACTAACTGTGTGTCTCTGTCCATATGTATTGCAGCCATGCAGGAAGATGCTCTGAAGCTGGTGCTGCTGGCGCTGGAGGACGGCTCGGCTCTCTCGCGGAAGGTTCTGGTGCTGTTTGTGGTGCAGAAACTGGAAGCGCGCTTCCCTCAGGCGTCTAAGACTAGCATCGGTCATGTGGTTCAGCTGCTGTACCGCGCCTCCTGCTTTAAGGTCAGAGCTAAAATCAGCTTCCTTTGCGCTAAAACCGCTGATCACTTAACAGCCATTACATTCAGTACTCCTTCTATGTGGACTGATAACGTGATATCATGTGGACATAAAGTGCTTGGCAATGGGAATATCTACGATAACTTGATATTTGTAAATGAGCTCGAGACCTTTACTGGAGCTTAATTTACTGTGGCACCTTATGAAATCAATCATTTCCATGAAATGTCGATCAGCAGTGCTTGTTTGGCTCAAGTTGAGTGTGGTAATTATGGGGCTTGCACTAAACTTATATGCACACCGATATGCATTTCTCTTGATCTCTTTTCAGGTGACCAAACGTGATGAAGACTCCTCCCTCATGCAGCTCAAGGAGGAGTTTCGCACTTACGAAGCCCTACGCCGCGAACACGATGCTCAGATCGTTCACATCGCAATGGAAGCGGGACTGCGCATCTCACCGGAGCAGTGGTCGTCTCTGCTGTACGGGGATCTCATGCACAAATCTCACATGCAGTCAATCATAGACAAGGTACCACATGTATACTGCACGAAGCTTAAAAATGTAATAATGACATAATAATAAATATATAAATAATTAAAATACGACATCAAATAATAATTGGAATAATAATTTAATACATTTTTATAAGTCTCTCATGCTCACCAAGGCTGCAATTATTTGATCAAAAATACAGTAAAAACAGTAATATTGGGAAATATTATTACAATTTAAAAAACACTATTTTAATATATTTGAAATTGTAAATGTATTCCTGTGATGGCAAAGCCATCTCAAATTATCCATTTTTGTTGTTTAATATTTTTGTAGAAACCATGATACATTTTTTTTTTTTAGGATTCTTTGATCTAAAGGACAACATTTATTTGAAATATAAAACTTTTCTAATATTATAAATGTCTTTAATGTCAGTTTTGATCAGTTTAGTGCATTTTTGCTGAATAAAAGTCTTAATTTCTTTTACACCAAACCTTTGAATGGTATTGTATCATGGTTTCCATAACAACTGTTTTGAATATTGATTGTATATTCAATTCATTGATAATTGTAACTGATAATTCAATTGTATTGAATATTGATTGTAAGAAATGTTTCTTGAGCAGCAAATCATATTAAATCATATTCAATCTTAATAAAATGATTTCTGAAGGATCATGGGAAACTGAAGACTGGAGTAATTATGCTTTGATCACAGGAATAAATTACATTTTAAACAGTCATTTTAAAATTTGAATAATATTACACAAAATTACGGTTTTGACTGTATTTTTATCATATAAATGCAGCCTTGGTGAGCATATAAGTCTTCTTTCCAATCAAAGATCATAATTATTCCAAACTTTTGACCAGTAGTGTAAAATATAGTAAAGCAAATATTTATAGATTTTTGTTGAATGTCTATTAAATTTTTTGTCTATTCTGAATGCATTCGTCCTTTCCACCCCATTGCCACAGCTTCAATCCCCAGAATCCTTTGCAAAGAGCGTGCAGGAGCTGACCATAATCCTGCAGAGAACAGGAGACCCAGCCAACCTCAACAGCCTCAGAGCTCCTCTCGAGCTGCTAGCCGGCATCGACCACAACCCTGGTGAGCACACGCACACGCACACGCACTCACACTTCCACACGGATGCAGACACAATCAGATTACATAGCAATAACCTCTGTGTGTGTGTTTGTAGATGCGGCCGCTCCGTCCTGGACAGAGCTGGAGAGTGTGTTATTGGCTGTGAAGGTTGTTGTCCACGGGTTGGTGGAATTCATCCAAAACTTCAGCAAAAAGAGCAATGAAAGCCCTCAGGTACAGCATGAGCTCTCACTACACTGTTTCCGGATGTGTTCTCCTGAATACATTCATTCCACGTCACTTTAAGTACAGCTGGCCAAAAATGTCAGTTTTATCAGGAAAGTCAATCAATGAATGTTGTTTTGACACTGTTTAAAGAGTTAGTACCCTCATGACGTTCCAAACCCATAAGACCTTCGTTCATCTTCAGAACACATGCAGTATTAAGACTCGTGAGAGCTCACTGACCCCCCCCATAGACAGCAAGGGTCCTACCTAAGGCCCAGAAAGGTAGTAAGGGCATTGTTAAAATAGTCCATGTGACATCAGTGGTTCAACCGTAATTTTATGGAGCTACGAGAGTACTTTTTGTGTGCAAAGAAAACAAAAATTATGACTTTATTCAACAATTTGTCTCCTTTTTCTGATCACGTATCTTTACTGAGGGTTGGTTAAGTGAAGCTCACCAAAATGTTAAAATGTATCTCTTACAAAATTGCCCAATCAATGGTTTTTCGCAGGAAGACAAAAAAGTATATATTTTTTTAAAAGAACTTGTCATCTAATGTTATAAAAGTTATCCAGTGTTCATCTAATATCTAGAGAAGAGCATATTGATAAACTATAAACTATAAAATTATATATATACAGTGGGGCAAAAAAGTATTTAGTCAGCCACCAACTGTGCAAGTTCTCCCACTTAAAAAGATGAATGTAATAATATAATAAAATAATATTTATATAATTAATTCATATAGTTTATAAATATATATTTTATTAGTACTAAAGCCTATTAGTAATTGATCAAAGTTGCATTAAAAACTGTAATATTGTGAAATATTATTACAATTTAAAATAAATGTTTTATATTTAAATATATTTTAAAATGTAATTTATTCCTGTGATGCATCATTACGTCAGTCTTCAGTGTCACATGATTCTTCAGAAATCAAGAAACATTTCTTATTTATTTCTTAATTTTTTTATTCATTTCTTATTCTTATTATTAATGGTGAAAACAGTTATGCTGCTCTGATAAAAAAAGAACTGTATTTATTGTATTTATTTGAAATAGAAATCTTTTGTCACATTATAAATGTCTTTTCTGTCACTTTTGATCAATTTAATATGTCTTTGCTGAACAAAAGTATTGATTTATTATTATTATTATTAATAATAATAATAATAATAAAAACACCTTATTGGCCCCACACTTTTTAACGATAGTAGTGTATATATATATATATATATATATATATGCATTGTATATATATATATATTTTTAATTATTGATGTGTTAATTATTTCATGTATATTTAAATAAATCTAAATTTATTTTTTTAAAATAACAACACATTATTATACTCAGTTTAATGTACAAACATAATAATGATATAATTTGAAAACAGACTTTTTCCTTCAGTGCATAAAGCTCTGATATATTTAGATTGTATGTAGAAAGAAATGTAGTTCCTGGTCAAAGCAGCTCCAAATGATAGAGCAGGTCACAAATAATCATAGCCATGCTATCGGCATTCATTTAATCGCTCTATACTCGTACTCTACGTCAACTGTTGTCACATTTATATCTATTTGTCAGGAATTTTGACACTTAAGTTTCCTAAACTATGAAAGAGCAACCTATAACCAGTTTATTTATTTTTGGGTCATTTTGAAACAGTCTGAAATGTGTTCTGCTCCTCTTTGTCAGACTCAACCCAACAGCAAGTACAAGACGAGTATGTGCAGGGACTTACGGCAGCAGGGCGGCTGTCCGAGAGGGACCAGCTGCACCTTTGCCCACACGCAGGAGGAGCTGGAGAAGTGAGAACACACACTCTTTCCCTTTCACACACATACTGTACACACAATCTTGATGACCGTATCCAGCCAGTCTCGTGCTGTAATGCACAAAAGAGCACCTCCCCACCTTCCCACATCTCCCGTTCCTCATTCTTATTCAAGCTCACCCACACGATCCCTCCAACACAACAGCACGCTTTACTGTGGCAGGGTCTGCCGTCACCCCATTTCCTCTCCTCATCTTTCTGTCTCTTTCAGGCACAGAATGAGAAGTAGGAAAGCCAGTGGGGCGGTGAGGCCCTTCCCGTCAGTTCCAGCGGTTATGCCCAAAACCGGTACCAAAGGAGCAGTCCCAGGGTCAGAGGGGAAGAACCACGAGAACGACGCCCCAGAGGACGCGTCTCCCACTCAGCTCATCCCTAGAGGAGGAGACCACCAGGAGGACAAAACGCTCCCCAGCAGTGCGAACGGACTGCCTGCTGCCAGCCTAGAACAGTAAGTGTGCTTCACTATTGCTGGAGCTCATACGTCTACATTCAAGCTTGTTGAGGAGACGTGTGTATTGCTTTCCAAATCCGATTGTCAGGGATGAAAATTTGTCACTTTTCAGCAAAAAATCTGATAACGATTCCATTTCTATCGCAAAATAGGGCATTTGAATGCAAACATTTAAAACGCAAAGATATTTAGCCAACCAAATATATTACTATTGTAATTTTAATGTTGTTCTGTAAAATTATTATTGTTATTATTATAAATAGTAATTATTTTATTGTATAGGACAATAGTATTTTACTCTAGTAATATATTTCTTTCTTTATTTGTTTCATTCAATAATGATGATGTAATGGTAATAATAAAAATCATTGTTATTATATAAATATATCTCTTTATTTCTTTTTTTCATTTTATAAGTGAAAAATGGTTTGTAAGCCATAAAAACAACAGTGTGAATGTGGCCTAAAACAACTAAAAAAACTGTTTTTATAAAAAAAATCTGCATAGGGTCTAGGGTGAGTTCTTCCTATATCCTCATGCAAACATGGACTTTAAATAAACATAAAGCTGATAATTAAATAATTTCACAAGTGGTTTGTATCTTTGTCACCTTCTTCACCCCTTTGTCAGATGATAAAATGAGCAGATGATTTTATATATACATATATATATATATATATATATATATATATATATATATATATATATATATATAT